TATATATATATATATACACAAATTTTTTTTTTTAATATATATTAAAACACTACAAAGCATTGCAACACAAAGATGATTCCCATTTGTACAGTGTAAGTTGTATTGCAATAAGAGATATTATGAACTACTTCCGGTTGTTTGTGACCATATGTTGTGATTTATGGCCTAAACGGTTTCGATACTTCTTTTTTTATGCAATTTTTTTTCTTTTGGCCCATATTACCGTTAGCATCTCCTGAATGATCAGCAGAATTCAGAGTCATGTTCTTTTTCATTAATACACAGATTATAAATAGAACACCTAGTATTTAATAAACTGTTGGGTTATTAGATTTATTTTAATCTACATGTATGTGTACAAATATACACCATAAATAACCTTTGTCACTTTATTTGCATTAATATAAACTATAGCACAGTTTTCCTCCTGTAGAGATAAAATGAATCGCCATGTTTGATTCCAGAAAACTAGTGCCACTTAGTGGCCACTTATGAAATACTTTTATGGCTTAAATTCAAAAACAGAACTAGTCACTTTTGATTATCCTAATGCAACTTGACAAGAAGTAACAGATGATTTTCATAGTACTATTAGTATATGTTTTACCGTCTATGCATGTGAAGTATTTTTAAAATCCACAAGTACAATTTATTAGTTGAGGTCAGTCTTAGTATGATTTTTACAAAGCATGGATCTGTAGTGCTTGACCATTAAAATGTTTTCCCAATGTATGGGATTCCGAATATGGGACTTGGGTTGGTGAGGCGATGCTGGCCATAGTATATAGCTGGAGATTGAATGTTGGATAATTTGCAATTCCTGAACAATCCCTGTTATCCCGCAGTGTGCAATCATTATGCACCCACTTCTGGTAGAAATGTATATGCTTTCGGTATTGGTAATATGCTCAGTGCTGCTCTTATTTTTAGAAGGAATCTGCTGTTAAAACACAAATTCCTGAGTGGCTCTTTGCCCTTACTACATATGGAAGTCTACATGAATCCTGGGTACCTATAATTCATGATCAACATCACTTTGGCAGCAGTTCAATGACATCTAATGTCAATGGCTACAGTAGTCCACATATTTAAGTTTTGTGCAATATTTTTTTTTTTCTTTTAGCCTCCGTTCACACTTGTGTGTCTCCATTTTAATGTGTTTTTTTTTAAGCATGTTGCATTTTTCATGAATCATGCATTTTTGTTGTGGCTAACGAAGGTGACATGAAGTATATGTCTGGGGATGAGGACTAGTTTTCATGCACTTAGGCGCGTGAAAATGCAAGTTACAATGTTTTAATGCATTTCCATTGAAATCTATGGGGTCAAAAACCCACTCTTTAGCACCAAAAGAAGCACCTACACCTTTCCAAAAATTGCACTGCACCATGTTACATTGATGTGAATGGGCACCATGAAGAATTATGTAATTTCCATTGTTGTGCATTGTAGCATGAGGGCAGATGGGTGACAAATTTCACTAGTGTGGACTAGTACAATTCTGCAAATAACAGTGCCATACAACCTGGAAATCAAATAACATCCACTGAAGAGTGGATTGCAGTTTGATTGAAGTCTTGTTTGTGCAAGGGTCAGATAATTCAAATGCTCTAGGATTGAAGTAGCACTAAAGGTGCCCATACACTGCTCGATTCTCGTACGAGAATTGGGCGAAATCCCGCGATCGTACAAGAATCGAGCAGTGTGAACGAAGACGTGCGACCGTTTCTACTGTACGGTCGCACATCTTTTGTCGAACCAACATGCTCGAAAACCCGCCGAGAATCGTACGATTGTCGGCGGGTTTCTAGCCTGCTCGTCCGATAGCTGCGGAACGGGCCGGTGTGCACACGCGCACACTGCCTGTTCTGCATTGCGGTCATCGGAAGCCCGCCCCTCAGCGGGGCGGGCTTTCGATGATCGCAAGTACGATCTGCCCGTCCAAGGTGGGCAGATCGTACGAGCTTTCAATAAGCATACGACCATCGCAAGACAAAAGTCTTGCGATGGTCGTAAGGTGTATGGGCACCTTAAAAGTTCCGGGATTTCTACTATAATTAAATATATGTACAATTTTTGTTTTTAACATCGCTCACAGCTCCAGATCCCACAGTGACACTTTTCTGAGCTTCCGTGTAGGGGAGCGCATGCCATGATTATATCACGTCAAACCTTTACCAGAGACAAAGCAATCTTGAGCTGCGTTGTCAATTACTCGCTTGGTGGAGGAGGGAGCAGGGGAGGGTGCAGAGAGGCATACGTAGTGCTAGTGGGGAGCTCGCACAAAAAGATGTCTCCGGTGGAACCCTGCAAGGGGAAGGAGACATCGGAAAACCAAAACCCGAAGAGAGAACATTTTCAAATGGGGAAAGAAAATCAACCACCGCTTTGGAAAGAAAGGCACATGGCAATTAAAGTGCTGACATCTGCAGTTATATATGAGTTGAGGACCCTCAACACTGCCAGAGGGCTGCTAGTGCATTGTGGCACCTCTGGCAGTGCACATTGTATTGCACATTGCCGGAGCTGTCACTGAACAATTTGCCTTTTTTTATTTTTTTTCTATTAGCTTTTTTAGGTCCTCGCACAGCAGCGTGGTAACCTGCGGTAGCATCCAGGGCATTGCATTTTTTCATTGCACCTCCCATTACACCCATGCTGTGGCGTGAACAAGGCACATTTTGTGTGTCCTAGTGGTGACTTACGTTGATCCAAGGTGGTAGAACACAAGTCACTGCTGTATGTGTGAATCACTTTAAGTGCAAAATCTGCCAAATCTCAACTTGGGTTCAATCAGCGTTATAACGCTAATTATTGTCTTTGATTGCACAAACAATCAGGTGTCCCCCCATGTGTGTAGCTAGCTTTTCAAGCATATGGATTGCCATAAAGTGCTTGAGTTCACAAACCCTGAAGTCTCTGAAATGTTTGTTTGACAGGAGTACATCAGACGACAGCTGGAAGAGGAGCAAAGGCACTTAGAAATCCTTCAACAGCAGCTGCTTCAGGAGCAGGCCATGTTACTGGTAAGAGTGCAGTGATCTGGTACTGGAGCGAATAAGTTGGAAGGTCAGCTTTGTTCAAGCACAGCTGCACAAGCTGTACAAACAATTAGCTGCTTTGGGGAGGGGGGTGTTTTGTCAAGAAATTAGATTGACAGGCACAGCTAAATCTAGCTGCTGCAGATGCATTGTTGGAGTGAGCTGTACTTAGAACATAAAGTCCCATCTTGAAGCTGGTGTAAAGTTTGTGGAAAATATGAATAAAATATTCTTCACAACCTTTTGACCCAACTACCAACAAAGGCACCATGCACTGTTAGCTGCTACAGAATTGTTCTGGTTTTTGAAGAAGCTTTGTGAATTGATTGAATTGTTTAAAGTGAATTATTGGACATCAGTTTCTTATGGTTGGACATGTTTGTTGTTACTTGCTCATTAATCTCTACTGGTTATCTCAAGTACTGTTCCGATCGGATTATATGCAAATATGAGGTCATTTATTGGTAACCTTATTTGTACCCAGCTCAGTTCTGTGAAGTTTCCATCTTGGAGCCTGAGAACTGGATTGCCTCTATTATGTATGTAATTGCCACAACAAGGAAGGTTCTAGTAGGTTATTGCACAGAGGTCAGTAGAGCAGAAAAGGTGTATGTATCTGCACTGCAGAAATTACTGCCACTTCTTTTAACTAATAAACGTGTTTATTATTGTTTCGTTATTTTAACCTCTAGATTTTAGACACAAATGTTAAGCACTTAAAATGTTCTATAACACAAGTGTGTGGCATAAAAAAATATATATATCCTAGACCAGCCTGGTCCCCAGACATGTGTAATGTGTTATTGCAATTAGTTTTATTCTAAAGTACCATCCATACTTCAAATATCACAATTTATATTCCTTTATATGTTGGCAGTTATGCTTTTGATTATCCCCATTGGAAACAGTTAAAACCTGTTATTAGTGGCGATAATAAAAACCTGACAGGTAGTAGCCCTTCCACACTACCCAAAACGTCAAACCAAAAGTAACTTTCTGTCATGCTTGTCATTTAATATGGAGCATTTAGCCGTTTTGGAGCCCACTAATAAAATAACAGGATTGGGCCAGATTGTAATATTATGCAGTTTTCCGAAGCAGTGACTTAATTTACATGAATTGGTTACAGGTCCAACATATTCTGCATTTAATAAAGTTCTAGTACAAGTGGTTGTTTACACAGTTATTGCATACTGAACCAAGCAACACCAAAGTTTACTTGGCATTTCCTCTTCATTCTGCCTTGGAAATGAGCTTTTACATCGGACATATATAAACATGTATGAATGTTAATCACCAGTTGTTTGGTTCCGTTGGGACATTGAGAAGCATTAGTGTCGGCTATCCATAACAATGTCATTTTCCAATTGTTAATTCCTAACATTCGCAATAATGTGACTGGTGGATTCTGATTTCTGTAAGTACCGCTGACACATTACTTCAATTTGATTAGCCACTGCCAATGCATACAGCATTACCAGTCCTAGCTGTAACCTATCGGCTCTTGAGTAACTAGTGACATCAAAAAGGCATGGTGTTGTGTGTGACAGTAACCAGGACACTTTTCTCGGTTTGTGTAGCTGCAACCAATGCTGATAAGTCTATTCATTAAAGCAGGGTAAACCGAAATGTTGGCGCATATATTACAGCAAAGCTATTCGTCTTTTACTGACATGACAGAATCTGACTTGACAACAAATGTGAATATTTTTAATTCCTGTGTTATTTTTTGCAAATCATCCTTTTTTAACTTCACTGAATAGAGCTATATTTGATTTGGTCACTTTATTTCTACCTAGTAACAGCTGGATATTCTTGAAAGTTGTATTGAGATGTAATACCTCTACTTCTGAGTGCTAAGTGTCTGGCTGCCATGCTGAAGCAATAGCTTTGAGGTTTTGAGTTGCTGACATGGAACAAGTATGCTTATCAGTAGATCTAGTTTATCTGCACACTTTTTCTGGGTGAGTGACCCAAAATGTGGAAACCAATGGATCAGCTTCACTTTATTTTTTTATGGCTGTTATCTTGGCTATGTTATGTGGCTGTGCATAATCAGGTTGACTCATACAGATGTACATTTTCAGGAATACAGGTGGCGGGAGATGGAGGAACACAGGCAAGCAGAAAGGCTTCAGCGTCAGCTGCAACAAGAACAGGCATATCTCATGTCTTTACAGCATGATCACCGACCGCAACCACCACAGCTACAGCAGCAACCACAGCCTCAGCAGCCCCCTATGCCACAGCAAGACCGGAGCAAGCAAAGTTACCATGCCCCAGAGCCTAAAGCCCATTATGAGCAGGCCGAACGTGTGCGAGAGGTAATCCTTTAGCTAGTTTGATGCTGAATATGTTTCTCAGGCAGTGCAACCTCATACATATATTGTGAAGAATCTAAGGTGCATCCAAATAAGGAAGATGTCTTTTAGGTACACTTTTAAGGTATAGAAACGTGCGGCTACATGTGTGTTCTTTTTTTCAGGGTTCTTTTCCCCCCTTTTAACTTCACCTGGTAATCCTGCAAATAACACACATTCTGTCTTAGGGATTGCTACACTCGCTCTTTGTATGGAGGGAACCACCTGGGCTGAATTTCAAACATGTTTTTCATCTCCACTACATGGGGGATAGGGTGTTTAGTAGTTTATAAAAGATCACATTGTTTTCTTTCAGTCCATCTCATAGGATGTTACTATATATATATATA